GGTGTTTTTTTGTTTGCTGTTGCTGCGGGGGGGTGTTTTTTTTGCTCTTGCTGCCGGGGGGGCTATTCTTTTTGCTGTTGGGGCCCCCACCGGCAGTTCACTCACTTGCTGGTTCGCCGGGGCTTGCACAACCACGAAAGAGCAGCAACAGCAAAAAAAAACACCCGTTTTCTTCGGGTATCCCCAGCTACAATATACGTACGGTGTCGTATAGCAGTACAATCGAGAACTGCATGCAGGAATAGTTGAATAGTACTTCTTCTTGGTAATTGGTGCATCCAAGGCTCTCAGGGTGTAACACAGCTATCACGGTGCCGGGATTGGCAGAAAACCATTCCTCGACTCTTATGCATGACTTTGCATAACTTGTGTGGTTTTTAGCACTAGAGCCCGCTTGTGGCTACGAGAACGAGATCTTCTGCTCATTGGGCCGGAGCACTGACAGCCGCTGATGTACTGCAGCACTGCGCTTTGCAAAGATCGAATGTCGCATCCTAAGACACGAGACATCCCAGGCCCGTCTGAGTCTCTGAAGAGCTCTGTTCAGCTGAGGCTCTCCAGAAGTTCTGAGCAGTTGGACTTGGCGTCCAGTCCCTCTTTGCAGCGGTGATAGGCTTCGTCTGCATACTCCTCGCCAGAAACACGATTGTAGCCTACTTTTCCAACCCTCTTCCGGACTTGCTATGGCTCCTGATCCATGGGACCTTCGCCTCGCGGCATCCTTCAGAAAATCTTCAGAATGCAACATGTTCCTCTGAAGGGGTACTGCTCTCTCCGGCCTGGTTTCAATGGGGCACACTCGAAGCTTGCCTCAGCTTACAGCAGTGGAATCGGTGCTGCCACTGTCAGGCGTACCGCGCAGACCGTTGCGCTGATTGCTGCTGCAACACCGCAATCCGCAAGAGCTGCTACAAGAAATCCTAAGCGATGCCTGCCACGCGGAGTATGAGCTGCGACCACGGCGCTGTGTTGGACAATCAGCAAGCCGTATGGATTGGGCATTGACGGGCTGTGCCTGCAGTCTGGCAGAACAAGACGTGACCTCGAGGTTGTGAAGCTCCAACGCGAGCCCGGGTGCAGCACATCAGCGTACTGGCCCGAGAAAGTGAGGTTGCACGCTGTGCTGAAGTTCTGCCACGCCTCCGCTGCTACGAGCCGTGCCCTTTGCAAGCCGTCAGGCGATACACCATCATGACTGTGGCCCCAGCTACGCCATTCCTGAGCTGCTGATGTCAACATCAGGCTCGGAACACTAGTCTGCGCATGTCTGCGGCAAATACTTTGGCTAGAAACATCTAGCAATGAGAAACCCCTTGCAGCACGATGGTAACAGTGCAGCTCTGACCGATTGCCCGTCGCGGCGAAAGTCGCCCGGTTTGACTGAAGTGCAGTGAGTTTAGCTCTGGTGATTGGCTGCTATCACAAAATTTCAGTATGAATACCATAATTATATATATATATATATGTGTATTCTCACACAGGTGTCTTAAGCAAGCAGGATTTGAAAATAAACGACGCTCTACGACAAGGTCGCTGCACTGACCCAGGACACAGCACCTTTCGGACAATTCATGTTGTCAGCATGCGGGCTCCCGGAATCTCGTGCCTGGCACCATCATATGTAGCCTTTAGAAAGTCCTTCTGACGTGATGCGCTACATGCTTCCCATTTTACGGATCTGGTGCTCAAGCTTGAGTCCTGATGGTTGCCGCTAAAGCAGGGAAGGCTTTCCAAGGAGAGGGTGGAAGGGTCATGCAGAGGGAGACAGGGTGATGTTTGTCTCCCTGACTACTTAAACTGGTGCAAGACATCCTCCATCAACAGTATTTGTTGGCGAGCGGTGTTGAAAGGACGTGCTTGCATCCATGTGCACTTAGCGTGCACTATTGATCTGGTCTGCAATTGCAATGAGCCGGTAAAGTGCAACCTGGTTCTTCTCTGACAGTCAAACTCAGTAATACTATATACAGTCTGCAAAACACAGCATTTGGTGACCTACATGCCTTACAGTACTTTTAATATGGACATTGGCATTGCAAAAATGTTAAATGTTGCAGCTTTCTGGCACCGTTAACTGTAGTGTTAACTGTAGCTTTGACTGAGTGCTTACTGAGTTCTAGCTGGGGAGAAAGAACAAACGCCTATGCCGCATTTACTGTCGACACACCCAGACATGTAAGGAGGATCCTGTTGTCGTGATAGTGCTTAACGTGAGTCTGTAGTAATGGTGACGATGATGGGGGCGATGAGCGAAAGCGATACAGTAGTGATAACAGTGCTGCTGCAGCCATGATGGCGGTGATGATGCTCTGCTATGATTCTGATTCTCATGGCGATGTGGACTCCAAAAGGCGGATTACTAATCGTGAGCTGAGCATCCTTTCCAAATGCTGGGCGTAGCGCTCTCGCATGGGCGGGAAAAAGCAGCTGTCGTCACCCAGCTTCTGAAACACACCTGCTTGGATAAAGATAGCTGTCAAGTCTTTCGTCTGTCGAAGCTTGCAAAGTTCCTTAGCTTGGACGCAGTCAGTGCAATTAGAGTATACTAGAGTGTCCGGTCCCGCACTCAAAGTCAGCCATGACATCTCACAAGCCAGACAAGAGTCACGGTGGACTGACTCCTGAGATGTGAGATCGGTCGGGGCTGCGGCTCTCCATTCATGTCAGCGCCGAGAAGATGTCAAGTTCCGAACTTTTGATGCGTTGATGCCATGTTTCTGTTGACTGGCGATTGTATGCCTGCACCTCTCCCAGCACACCGTGCTTGCTGTACTCGTTCAGCCTAGCAGAATTACACAGGACCTCTTCCTCTGCCTACAGGCATACAACTGGCATACAACTCAACAGTGCCGGTGGCTGCCAAGAGGCATCTTCTGAGTTTGGAAGGTGGGGTGGCCCTTTGTAACATGCCTCTAGCATGGCAATCAGCAGGGCGGACTGCTTGCAAGCACATTTGCGTTGCCAAGCAACGGAAACACGTAAACCGATCCGGATGATAGATGAGCAGTTGGTTGTTGTAGCACCTGCACACTGCAGATTCAAACTCAGGTACCAACAGTGCCTTGCGCGATTGCGCAACCGACTGCCTCAAAATTGGGGTCGGCGGCAGCATCCTCAGCAAGAAAACTTGAAGGAAGCCTTGCACCCCGCAATATTCTTGCTTGCGAGATGCTGATGCTGCCCAGATAGACAGCAGCATGAGGGAAGCTGTGCCGCCCCATTTCCGCACCATGCCAGCCCCGTGCTTGTCAGAAGGAAGACTGGTCTCCAGAATGTCAGGCTGCTCGAGGCCCAGGGTTAAAACTGCGACGCAGGGCTGAAGGAGTCATGCTGGCATCATGTTTGCAGGAGGCACGTCACTGAGCCTGAAAATCTGCTTGTAGCAAAGTCAAAGTGCTGAGAAAGCCAGCCAAGATCTTTTCAAGAGGCTGGGGCTTCGACCATGTCTGCTGCGTACTCGTTGCTGAAAAGGGTTGGCATCTCCACCCAGGCTCCGGCCTAACTTACATGGATTCGGTGCACCGAAGCTGGCAATGATTTCACGGGTTGCCAAGTGGATGATGGTGATGATGCTGCTGCTGCTGCTGCTGATGATGCTGCTGCTGTTGTGCTGCTGCTGCTGCTGTTGTGCTGCTGTTGCTGCTGTTGTGCTGCTGCTGCTGCTGTTGTGCTGCTGCTGCTGTTGTGCTGCTGCTGCTGCTGCTGCTGCTGCTGCTGCTGCTGCTGCTGCTGCTGCTGCTGCTGCTGCTGCTGTTGCTGCTGCTGCTGCTGCTGCTGCTGCTGCTGCTGCTGGCAGTGGTGGTGGTGATGGTGGCGATGAGGATGATGAGGATGATGGTGTTGGTGATGGTGGTGATAGTGGCGATGATGATGGTGGTGATGATGGTGCTGGTGATGGCGATCGTGATGGTGATGCTGATGATAGCAGTGATGGTAAACTCGGCACTGTCGACTGCATGGGTGCAGTAAGAATGCGGCATACCCGGAGCCAGTGGATTCTGGATGACAGCGTCCATAAACGTGGCCACCGCAAATCAGGGCTACGGCCTTTCAGGGGTACCATTTCGACTGCAGCATAAATATGCATAAGTCATTCCCCAGCACTGGTAAAGCCCAGACCTCCCTGTCAGTGATGCCCATCCGCCCAAAGACATCACGGATGTGCTGGGCGAGGTTCTCCCAGCCCTGGAGCACACAGATCCTGCCGGACCACTCCAAGGTCCAAGCGCCAAGCCTTCAGTCGGCCTTCCTCATCAACCTGACAGGCACAACACCTCCATGACCCAACCCCTGCGTTGCCCAAATTCAACAGCTCTCGCCTCCATGCCTGGTGCCAGGCCGTGCTCGGCCCCCGGCAGCCTGCCCGGAGCGACCTTCATGTCGTGATGGCGGCAGTTTTGGGCAGCACAAACATACACAAACAGATGCTGCTCGCGCATGTGTGCCACAACGTCGGGGTGAAAAACTCATTCTGGCAACCCCGCTCTTGCTTGAAAGAAGCGGTAATGCAGGGACTCTGGCCGCCCTTTCTTCAGGTGCGTCCACGCGCCCGCCGGTGAAAGCAATCCTGCGGTTGCCACAAAGGCACTGAAGCCGCAATGCAAGGCCACTACAGTAGCAAGCGGGCCGATTCATCTGGTTGACCCACGATTCTCCGAACGTGCCAGTTTCGAAGCCTGGTGTGTTTCCTTGCGTGTGTCTGCGATTATGAAATTGCGAACGTGACCCGGGTTTTGTGTGGGCTGTTTCTGCTGGCCCATCTGTGTCTACCACCCCCTGCCACTCACGTGGTTGGAAGGGTCCCCAGCGCCACGTGAATCCCTTTTGCATATTTCTGGACACTGTTTGTTGCTTGGAATCGTCACCGGGAAACGAGTTTCTACTGGACCCACTGTTTAGATCTCACAGCACAGCGCGTCCACGACATTACAAGGAGGTCCCTTCTACTCAAGTAACTGGAACAAGAATCACCAAGAGTTCCGTCGGAAGACGGACGGCCGGGGGCGAGCAGGATTCCAAGAATGCATCTTGGGTTTAACTCGCCCACACTCCCACAATACAATAAAAAACGTTTGTTGCGTGATGCTGTCGTGCTGCCTTGCAATACTTTCAATCTTAAATTTCTGATGCCCGCCAAATCCCGAGAACTCAAATAAAAGGCTATGTTGGGCCAACCTTTGAAGTGCAATGATGTTGTCGATGGCAAGTAGTTCGTGTGTTGCGTTGCGTCTGCACATATTTGCCACCGGAGCCCGCCAGTCCTTGGACCACTCGTGTTCTCAAGGGCCACGTAGGAAGCCAGGATCCAAAGGTCTGCATGCGAGATCCAAGGATGTTTGGCCTCGCGCAGCATGGAGGAATCACCGTCAATTTCGCTACCGGCCTGCAGCCTCGGTCTTGAACTGTAGCAACAACTCTGAAATACTCTGAAAACAGCTACCGCATAAGGCATCATAAGGTTAATTGCCGAGTGAAAACCTGGTATCGCTTTTGCCTTCACAGGCTCGAGTAAAGCTCGGGCGTGCTCCAAGTACGCATTCTCCGGATCATTCATCTGGGCACAGGGCAACTTGCAAAGGTGCCACGACCGACCTCGAAGTTACACTAGAAACATCATGCATGTGAGCATAGCAAGGTGATTGAGTATTCCACGTCAATTATAACATCATGCCTTGGCTGCCTTTTCTGGACTGGAGCCACTCCAACAACCTCTCCCCCTGTCCGACCTCCAAAGCGTGTCTCATGGTGGCTCCGTTGGAGCCCCCAGTGCCATCCAGTTTGTTGTAGGTGCCTCTACTTCGCACAAAGACATTAGAGCCGGACATCACCAAGTCTAAAACGGCTTCGCCTGATGAGTGCCATGCCAAACGGATGAGGATCGGCGCGTAGCTGCCGTCATCCTTGGCGTCAGAAGCTGACAGCCACAGCAATCAAGCACAAGTCCTCTGCAGGAAAGCAAAGACTGCTCGCCGGCTGCGGCTTCAAGCTGCAGTTCGGCCAAGGCTTGAAACTGAAAAACAGCTCAGAGGGGGTCCCATTCAGGCGAAGACATGGCTTTCTGCAAGTCCTGTCGGACCACCTGACCACCAACGGGCCGACTATGCGGTTCGGGCCTACTAAGTTTCAGCGGGTACAGCAGGCTCACATCTCTGCTCGTCTCCTTTCCTTGCACTCAGATCTCTGATCATTGAAAAATCGAGCGCCTGCCTGGTACAAGGCAGCTTGGGGTCCCTCGAAAAGCATCCGCGCGAAGGACCTTACCAAATGAGCACATCAGATGGCATGGTCGCGCGATCTTAGATGCACCTTTGCTCGAGGCAAGAACGTCAGTTTCAGTCGTCCCGCATCCAAGCCCAAGCCCTTCGTCAAGGATGTCAGCTTAGCCTTCGACTTCGACATGGACACTTATCGTCCCATGACAGCAAGGCCACCAAGATGCCTCGTCCCAGAAGGATCCTTTGTCAAGGGCTTTGACAAGCTGGACCAACTCCTGGAGAATGGGAGTTGGGACACGGTCAAGCTGAGTGATGCGACACCTGGGAACTGATGCCGGAGCTACAGCATCGTGCTTTCAGGCTTACGACCCAACCGAAATCTCCTGCTCTCCAATGGTGCCATCCGAGCTCCTGGACGAAAAATATGAACTCCGCAGATGATGCAACGATCAGCCCTCCGGGCACCCCCACAGCAAGAAAAGCGCTTATGTCCAGCCATTAACCATCCCATCCTAGACCGAATCTGCCCTCAGAGATTACTGCTTTACCTGGAATGGCACCCCCGTCAAGATCCTGTCGTACCTCTCGAGGAGGCACAACCTCAATGCAGCTAAGCTCCCACAAAGTCACGTTCGTCTGCGTGTGTAAAGGGCCAATGAGCACAAACAGTTCACAGCACTTGAGATTCAGGCATGTCCTCCATGGACATGGAGGAGGGTGCGGGTGGTGCGGGTGCTGGGGCCATCTTTAGCTTCGCCAGTCTCGGCTCCCAGCCAAGACTCTTCAGAGCAAAGGCATCGAAACTTAAGCTCCTAAGTGTCTCTGCAAGCAAGTCCCGGGCAATCTTTCTACTCGACCCGGGCGGACATCTCGCTTTCCGAGCTCTGAGAGGTGTCTTCGAATTGATTTGGTTCTGTACAGCTGTATAACTGCGGCACTTTCCAAAAGAATCGCAGAAAGCGAGGGTCATGCACACACAATCAGCGAGCCTGCTGGGACTCACGTACAAGAGGCAACGACTCAGGCTACCGGCCATTGTAGCTGCTCTCCTCTGGCGGCATCTTCTTTTGGAAGATAGCAAACTGGGTGAGTGCGATCCTGGGTAGCTGTTCCATCCACACATCACGAAAACCTGCCCTCAACTTGCCATACCTGAGGAGCCGTTGCGACCTCTCCATAAAGTCAATGGAAGTCGCCTTCACTCATGACTTTGACAAACTCTTGGTAGTCGATCTTGCCGTCGCCGTTCCTGTCTGCTTTCCTTACCATCTCGTCCAAATCTTCATCATTGAAGGGTGTATCATGCTGCTGGAATGCCCAGCGCAAATCATCCGTGCTGATGAAGCCGTCGTGATCGTGATCCAGGCTCTGAAAGGTTTCATGCATCACCTTGCTTTGAGCTTCTCTCTGGAGCTTCAACACGCCTGAATGCACATTTTGGTTTTGAAAATGGCCCTTGCGCAAATGGTCGACTTTCGTGTTCGGCTGGTCCGGCTTCAGATCGGAGAAGAAGTGATTTGTGTCGCGATGACAAGCTTCGTCTGCTCGAATTTGCAGAAAGACGTCGCGCACCATGGCTTCTTTGGGAAGGTTGTAGTACTGGCGTGCAAAAAGCGGAGCCTTCATGTTGGAAAACATTGGAAGCTGGTCAGCGTCGATGGCATCGATAAGCTTGGAGTAAGTGATGACAGCCTCCTCCTCGAGGTAGCCGACAAAACGATGACAGTATCGGGGGCAGACGAGGTACATCAAACTGTACCAAGTGAGAAACACCGCCTGACCTGCAATGACAATTCCCCTGAAGACCGGCCCAGGACGTCGCAAATTCAGTGCAATCAGGAGATGCATGCGCTCATTTTCGGCCTCTGCAAGCAAGGAATGTATCCAGCCGTGATCTCGGCGCATGAGACGCAGCGAATGCAAATGACGCACCATACCCGCCACCATACCTGGCACTCCTGCCACTGTTTCCAAGAAGATCACACGACGAAGCCAATCCCGCTCGTGCATAGCCCCCAAGGTAGTTCGGAATTTGTAACCAGAGAAGAGGTCGAAGCTCGACCTGAGGCTCCTCACAGTCATGTAAGATGCCCAGTCAACCCAGTCAGTGGGCTTCCGGTGCGTGGTTTTCACGGCCGCGAGTTCGTCGCCGGACCAGCGGTTTGCTGTGATCAAATGATTGAGGTCTAGAGAAGCTTCTTCAGGCTTCTTCAGCTCACCAGCCACGTTCGACTTGCTGCGCACAGACATGGACCCCAGGGAGTGGTAGTATTGCTTTGCAGGGTTCTGCAGATGCAGCTGGAAAAGCTGTCGTCGCAACATGGCGCTGAGAGGAGTCAGGATGAGAAAAACGAAGCAGGAAGTACCACCGAGATGCTAACCTACCAGGTACAGTGAACACGCTGGGATGCAACACAATGTCTAGCACGGCCTGGTGCTACTCTACCCATGCTTTCCATTGGCATCAAAGCCATAAATATCTCTCTTCAGTCGCCAGCATTGCATGAAGCAGTTACATGCAACTGTCATCAACATGTCCTGCCTGAGTTAAGCTCGCTGATGCATCACTTTCCCAAGCACTAAGAAGCAGAAGCTGCGAAAGCACTGCGAGCTTTTGTGCCGCATTGTCAGGTCCCGATCCAGACATCGCAATGCTTCTGCCACAGGGCGTCCAGACCTCACATGCATGCAACGCCGAGATGAGGTTTTTGATGGTTTTTGCATCACAGATCTCCGAGAGGCAGACGCTGGCGAGTGCCGGAGCTTAGACTCGCCAGGAAGGGGGTGGTGGCACTGGCCGAGCCCTGCTCCGCGTACTTGGCCTAAACGAGCAGACGTCTCTCCAGGTTCTTGGAACTCGTGGTATGTCCACCAAGCTGCAAAGCTGCAATCCAGCATCCAAGACTGCCACTCAGGAACCTGAGAAGAGGCTGCAGCAAGCGGAGCTTCAAGGATTCAGTTTCCACACCAGTCATCCAGGACCTTTCAACTTTCATTGAAAAGAGACAGCGAGAGTTGAAAGTCAAAGTCCTGCAAATTCAAACGCAGGTCTTTTACTGACTAAAAATGGTACGGTACAGTAAGATCTGCATGTAGGCTTTGCACCGCATCGTCACATGCACTCGTTAGAACTGCATTGCGTTTCTGCTCGTACACAGCAAGATTGCACAAGCAAGCAGCGGAGGCAAAAAAAAGTATAGAGGAAGAGGGCGAGAGAGACATACAGGCACGCCAACATAGATCTTTGCGGTTAGAAGTAAGCACAAGAATGGGTGGGTATCTGGTCACCTCTCTGTCAACCCCGCCTGCACCTAGTGCAAGAAATTTCTCTGGTGACTCCAGTGCTTCCTCACACTAGTGATCTTGTAACTCAAAGAGGCGTCAATCAAGGAATGGAGAGCTGCGATGCTGAAATAGGGAAACAAGAGCCAAGACAGCGTGCTCAAGCGTTGCTGACGAGCACATGGTCAACCGGCAACATTCGCTGGGCTACTTGCTTGAATGTGAGGCACGGCATGAGCCCCGTGAGGATGTAGAATCTTAGTGGGACGGCTGAAGCAGCACACAGCTTATTCGGGCAGCGGCAGCTGTAACATACCTAGGCGAGTAGCGCTGGGCATGCAGGGCCGAGTCAGTTGCGACAGACATGACGTGGCTTCTACAGGACTTGAGCGAATTCAAAGCCAAGTAGAGCTCGGCTGGCAAAAACAGCAACAAACTGAAAAAACATCACCACCGGAGCTGCGGCTACAGAAACACCATCTCCTGCACTTGGAAGCCGAAGACCGCATGCTCGAAAACTGGGCTGCAAGCCGGCGGTGGCACCAGGCCCTTCATGCTAACAGCTCCTGGACTCGCCTGCGCTGGACCTTTCGGGAATTGCCGATTTGATCATTTGGCATCAAGTCTGTGAGCGCAGTGCACAGCGCTTCGTGAAGGGCAAACACTGGATGTGTGGTTGGCAAGCAGTCATGTCTTCAATTTTAGTCAGTCATGGAAGACTGGCCAAGTACGACCTACGCTAGCTCCTGATTCCGTCAAGTTCATGCCGGTTTGATGCTCTGGCAGTGCACCTACAGCAGGAGGGCCTCTGAGAATCGGTAGCTGCGCCGACGCTTATAGTGCAGGGTATATTAGAAGGCTCTCCCACATCAAACGGAAGCACCCCGCCACCTATGCCATGCTGAAGAGGCGGCGCCGGCGCATGGCCGCGATAGCATGCGGAGGGCCTCAGGCTGCCAAAATGTTGGTCAACTGTCTGCGATGAACAGTCCATGCAGAGGCAGAAGCGGGAAGAATAACTTCTCGACGAAAGCTCTGAGTTCACATTAAAGACTCTACAGCAGCAGAGCTTTTCTGTGAAGCCTTACGTGCGGGCCGCGGGAAAACACATCTTGTCGTCCATCGCACCTGATCTGCAGCAAAGTAGCGTCGCCCACGAAGCTTGAGCATGGGCGCTGTGAGTGGCTGTAGCGGTCGGAGTGCTACGGTCTTGGTGCAACGCGAAAATCGCGAGCTGCAGCTGGCACCCTCTCGGCTCGGGAGCTCGGGAAGGGACCGGCTGGAGACGCCCCGCCGCGGCCGGCTGTGGCATGCACGCTCTGACCACGTCCGTCCCAAGAGATGGCCGTTGTGTCCAGGGGTCCTCGAAAACAGCAGCTTTCCTTTCTGAAGGCGCTGATTTCATGCCTGGCTCAGCTTCCTGGTGAAGGGTCAGCAGGCAGCCGCTGTTTGTCCTTGTCGGACCAGTTCCAGCCGTGATATTCCCACTGGCGCTATCCCATGTTGCCATTATCTTACTTTCTTGGAAACAAATCTCTCCAATTCTATACAGAGGGCCGTCCCGGTGAGAGCCCCGCGAAGCATAGAACACCGACAAGTCCCAGTGGGAATTACTGCGTGCCTGCCGGGCTTGCATCTTGGGGCCGCCTGCAAAGAGTCGTCAAACGAGCGGCCACATCGCTGTGCCGTGGCATGCGGCCGCGCCTGCTCTAAGAGGCTTAAGCCCAGAGCTCTTCGCTCCTCGCTCCTTGGCTTTCTCGCCTGCAAGGGCCCCCGTCTGAGTCGCCCTTCTCCCTTTCTTCTGCAGTTGAAGAGAGCTCGCATTTCTGGGTTTCCTAAACCTGCGTCTTGCACGCACTCCTTCATCCCTCGGCGCTGCCTCCGGCACTCATCTCTGGGGTCGGAAACGGCTGCTGTGGGAACTGCTCCTCAACAGGCATGTGCTGGCATGACGCACGAGTTTGCAAGGGGCTCCGTTTCCTCGCTAACATATGCAGTTTGACGAATGCCTTCTGCACGCCTACCATAAATGTCGTGCGACATCCAGTATACTGCGCTGGGCCAAAAAGTTCGACCCTCTAGCTGCTTGAGGATGCCTGAACTGCGCAAGTGAGCCTTGGGGCATCCTCGGCAACCAAACAGTATTACATCTTTGGAACGGAGTAGCAATTACTCCGCCAGCCGGAGAGGGGTAAACGAGACTTTCAGGCGCTCCACCACTCCGCACGAGTCTATAGCATCATGTGTGCTAGACAAACTACATGTAGCATACGGCTCGAAGCTTTCGGCCCGAGGATGTCGAGGCTTCGCATGGACGATCGAGACTTACTCGCATAGCACAAACAGAGCTTCCGGCGACTTCTGCTTGGCTTGGCGCCATCGCATCCTGCATCGAACGGAGTCCCAAGAGTCACTGAGAGAGTCCGACGAATCCCGCCGGCCTGCGGAAGACTCAGTGCTTCGAGCCTCGACTGGATAGCTGCCTGAGCGACGGGAGGCTTCTCAGGTGCAAGGACGGTGCCTATCTGCTGCTACCGCCCAGAGAGGGTACCTCCCGGTCTGCGTACTCCGCCAGCTCGAAGCCTAGCTGCTTCTGAAAGAACTCCAAGTGCTCGGCCTCTCGGCTTAGGCACGGGAGATGTTACCAGTAGCCTTCTCTACAGGGCAGGGCCTCATCGCCCTCGAAAACCAGCGAAACCATCCAGCCCACCGAGCCGAAACGGGCAGTCCGCCCAGAACGGTGCAAGTAGGTTTCCTGCAGGATCCAGACTGAAAGAAGCCACACCCGCTGACGATGTGGGATCCTTCTCTGTTGGCAGGTTCAGGTTGACCACCACATCCACTTTCTCTGCATCAATGCCGCGAGCCATCAAGTCCTCGGCCCCAGGGTGAAAGAAGATGCCATGTCTCCGAGCTTATCGTGCTCCATCAGCGTTAAGAAGCTGACCGTGCAGACCAGGACTCTGTACTGGAAGCGTTTTAGTCCGGCGAAAGCCTGGTGACGCCACGACAAGCCCCGCCCCTGGAAAGAGACTCCCGCTCCGGTAGCACAAAAAGGGGCCAATCCGCAGGTTTTAGACACTTACAAAATCCAGTAATTTCGTGATCTCGACTCGTGTTGAGAAGAAGGCGATCCATCGCAGACACTAAGACTACAGAGCGGTGGAGACATGAGATCACAGGTCCAGGCAATGTTTTTGCCACAACACATACAGTAGCAAAAGGAATAGAACTGGCTATAAAATTGATAAGACGTTGCAAGAGGCCTGCGCCCGCCACGCTTGGTCCAGCTTCCCGGTGCTTGCGGCCGCAGGCACTCCGGCCTTTTCTGCGCAAAGCGAACAAATCTTGTGGAGCTCCTCACTCAGTGCAACGGCAAACCTGATTCAGCAGCTCCGCGATCTGGATGGCATTGTTGGAATCCCCCACAAAGACGAAAGCCTGCGGCGTAGTGCTTGCAAAGCTTGCCTTGCCCACATTCTCGATTCTTGACCGTCACAGGCCTGTTGATAGGCCGCAGTTGTTAACACTTCCAGCAGTGCAGGCACCTTCTGCCTGACATGATAACCTGAGCCGGCACACGTTAATCCCATCCTTATCAACTATGATCATCGCGTACTCCATCAATACAAAGGCCCGGAATGAAGTGCAGTGGATACAAAAGGCCCGGAATGAAGTGCAGTGGGGAAGCCTTGCAACACATATCGGAGATGGAGCACTCCCTGCAACACGCAGACCATCAAAGAGAAGCGCACCGCCGCGGCTTGCAGCTGCAAGTTCCAATGAGCCTTGAGCAAGGCTGTCTCTACGACATCAGCGTCGTCTCCATCTTCTTGCAGGATGTTCAACCCTTCCTGCACTAGTCCGGACGAGCTCAGTTCTGCACAGAGCTGCTGATGTTCTAGACAGGAACTGCACAGGTCCTCATCCTTCTTCACAGCTGACGTGCACAAGAACACCTGTGAAGAGCGACCGGTGCAAGCTCTGCAGCATAGGCTTGGCAGGTGCGTGGCCAACGGAGCCTTGCTGGGCAAGTCTCGCATGACAGGTTGACCCCGGGTTGCACGCTTCTTTTCCACCTGCAAATATCGGAACAAACGCCTGGATGTGGTTGGAAATTCACATGCCGCGGCTTGAGGCCATGGCATGGACGAAAAGATCCTCTGCAAGTGCGACAAGTGGTGGGGGAAAGGTGGCGGAGACAGCCAGAAACTGAAGAGACCTGAAAGCCAGCAAATCGCATGAAGACATGAGAATGCCAGCCACACGATATGTGCTGAGATCCGAGCTTGGTGAAAACCAGCTCTGTTATCGAAATGATGTCCTGCCTGGGCAGGCGGAGTCGAAGGTGTACTTGCTGTTTTGCTGACGCTGTGCTGCCACATGCTCGAAGAGCACGAGGCGCACAGAAGCTGAGCAAGCCTTTTTGACACGTGGGCGACTTGTCCACTCACGCTGGATATGCTACAGCTACGGGATTCCGCCACTTGCCATGTCAATCTAGGAGGCAATGAGGAAGCATCATCGGCCGTAGGTGCCTCTTGCTCCGCCAGCATAGCCACCCCCGCCTCCACCTCCATACGAACCTCCCCCGCTGCCGTATGTAGTTCTTGTCTGCTTGTAAGGCGCAGGGGGAGGCGGCGTGTATGGCCTCTTCTGACCACCATAGCCAGATCCGCCGCCGCCACCCCCATAGGATCCCTTGCCACCTTTGCCATATCCTCCCTTACCCTCGCTTCGATCATTGCCTCGTTGCGCTTGGGGTCTGGAGAACTTCAGACGAGCTGTCTCATCGCCAGCGTCTATTCTCCTTTGGCGTTCCCTTCGATTGTCCTCCGTCAGCTTTACGAAGCGCTCTAGGGGAGTATCCTCAGGCTCGTCTGCCTTCAGATGGCCATTGGCATCAACGCTCACGGAGTCCTTCAGCAACTCGACGAGCTCCTCAAATTCTTTGACACCAAACTGGGAGAAGTTCCACGCTTTTCTGTAGTACTTCTGGTAGTAGAAGCTCAGGTGCTTCAAATCGAAGCTTGGCCTATCAGGATCATTCAGGTCCTTCTTGAAGGAATGGGCTAACAAGTGCAGCTCATATCTCGTACTGAGCAAGATCCAGTCTTCGTACTGGAACTGCCCAAAGAGCGGCTCTCCATTCCCAATGTCGTTGATGTCCTCCACTGCGAGGACCTGGAAGTCTCGAGAATCTAACACAAAAGTCCAGCTCGCTTGGGAGAGGAAGCCTGTCCCTCTCTGATCAGGAAAAAACAGCCATTGTACTAAAATGCATGTTGCGAGTACAGCATGAGCTACACGGCTAAGTGGATCTAAATTGAACCCCCAGCCCGAGCCGGATGTGCAAGCGTGCCACATCAAGATTCTCTGTGTCCATCTCTTCGTTCTGTTCGGCCTCGACCTTCTCTTCAAGGGCTCGCGCCCCTTCTTCGTCACCAGCATCAATAAGGGTCTGCTTCTCCTCTTGGATCTTCTTTTTGGCTTCCTCCAGTCGCTGCTCCTTGAAGGCCCGCCTCTTCGCGGGATCCTTAAAATCTGTTTGAGCCTTCCTCCAGTCCTGCTGTGCCTTCTGCCATGCAGACCACGCCTGCCTGAAGTCAGCTCCTGGAGCTAAGTCTTCAGCACGCTGCGTTTGCTTTTTCTCCATTATCCATGCCTTTAGCAACTCGGAACAGCTGGACTCATTCCCCCAGGCATAGGCCACCTCATCAAAGCCCTCCGACTTGAGAGGTAGAGCAAAGCTTGCATACGATCTGGCAAGTTCCTTTTCTGTCATGTCCGGCATTGGGGGCTTCCGGCACTTCAACGCCTTCTCCTCCTCTGTTAGCTCGACTGGGACATCCGGCTCTTCTTCCGGAGCCTCGTCCTCCGGCTCTTCAGCCGGAGCCTCTTCCGGTTCTTCGGTCTCCTCGACTTCCTCCCCGAGCCTCCGACGCTTGGCGGCCTCGTAGTTCTTTCGGGCCGCCTCGGCTTTCCGCTTTCTTTCCTCCTGCTGCCGCTTTTGTTGCCGTTGGCGCTCAGCCTCCGCTTGTTTTTTCTTTTTCTCTGCCTCTGCCTGAGCCTGCTTCTCCTCCAGCACTAGCTTCTGGATCCACTCCTTGTACTGCTGATCAGGCTCCCCCATGATGACGACAGCCTTGCGGTGAAAGTCTGCGGACGTGAATCGCATAAGGCCCTCGTCACGCTCAGACTTCACAAGGTTAGCCTTCATCTCTGGGATGATGTACTTCCGCGGGAAGGTGGGTGCTACTGCTGAAATGATTCGGCCGACGCTCCAATCGTCAATTGCTGGCACACCAGTGCTTGCCTCTGGCTTGTCGCCAGATCCACTGTAGTATTTCCCAGCCTTCCAGATTCCGCTCTTCCAAGCCCAGTCCTGATCGTGCTGGCAGTTGGAGCATAAGCACAGTGGATGCAAGGGAGTGGCGAGATGCGACAAGGAAAAGCAAGAGAGAGAGAGAGAGAGCGAGACAGATGGAGAAAGATAAAAACATAGATAGAGGGAGAGAGGGAGGGAAAGAGAGAGAGAGAGAGAGCGAGAGCGAGAGAGGCCCAAAATGCAGCAATGTAGATAATGAAGGATCATCGGCTGGCTACAACAAGAAATGCTTGCGCAGTAGCCAACATCTTCCGGTCGCTGAGCTCCACGAAGTCGGGGTTGTCGACGAGAAACTTGTCAACCCAGTCAAAATAGCCGGTGTCGGGCAGTCCCACTGGCATCACTAGCTCACCCTTGCCGTCCTTCCTCTTCGCTACAGATGGGATCTCAAGATCTTCCGCTGCAGCGTGGGCGAGCATGGTGCAGGTGAACGGCAGGGATGTGCGCGGAGCTGGCCCAAAATTCACCTCCAAGGACCTTAGAAATGCGGTCCCTCGCCATCTCGTTGCCCCGCCGGCATCTCACCCAACAAGCCTACAGAATCACCCACTGGAAACCACAAATGCCTTACGAGTAGCAACGGCTACCGGAAAACATCATCACATCTTAACCCTGTGATCCACTCCAGAAGCATTGCAAAAAAAAGTGGCTGCGCATGTTCATCGCAAAGGTGCACATTCTTGTAAGTCACCGTCGGGTACAGGGGCTTGCCGATAAGAGCTTCCGGCAGCGGCTGTGGATCAGACGCGCGCTGGCCATCGATGAAGAGACTCACCTCGTGAGATGCAAACTGTACCTAGTCAGAACTCCGAGAACTGGCCGCCAAGATACCGTGCCTGGCTAGACAAGACAAGTTACTGTGTTGGCATTCGCCATAGAGGGGTCTAGATTCAGGAGGACGGCCACAGTTTGATCTCTGACGAACTTGTAGGAAGCTCTTCTCCTGGCTTTGTCGTCCACAAAAAAGCCTTCGGAGTCGAAGGAGCAGTTGTTTTCCCCATCGCCGAGGAACAAGGAGCCTCCTTTCAAGGAGAAGCCCACTCGGACCAGCTGGCGCGGGTTCGGGACTCGGCCGTGCCCCGCTGTCTCGCATGGGTTCAGCGACTCCAAGATCCTGACCTCGTACATGTAGCGACCGGCCTTAATGCCGGCACTGCAACGTGCGGAGGCAAGTAGGTACTGCATCCCCCCTTCGGTGAGCGCCATGAGCACTTTGCCGCCGCAGACAGGCATCGCATTCAGCGTCGAATCATCAAGGTTGAGAGCCACCGTACCTCGCGGGACCAAGGGCGGACGAGTGCATTATAAGATCTCAAGGAGGGATGGAGGAAAAGCGCCTGCATTCACCTTTGCTCTGCTGTCTTTGGGCGCATCTTCTTCACGCTCTTTATCCTTGTCTTCCATTTGGGCGTCCTGCCAAGAATTGGACAAGGGATTTTAAGCAGGCATACATGGTCCGGCCACCATTTGCCCTCGGTCCTCCTGCAGTGCCTCTTCTGCGGCGTCCTGTTTCGGACCCTCCGCTTCGCTTTCTTGCTTGGGCTGTGCCTCCTGCGCAGCATGAGCTCTATGGCTACCTGGCCTAGCTCTGGCAAACGGATACTCCCTAGGAACCTCCTGAGGTTTTTCTTCCTTGACCTCCTCTTTCAATGCTTCTTCCTCCTTCATTTCTTTCTCTTCTTTTGGAGGCTCCTCGGCCTGAGGGGCTGCAGCGCCCTTGGCCTCAGCATGGATTCAACGGTGAAAACTGCACTGTTGCAATCTGTTGCACAATAGTTGTCTATTGTCTATACCGCCTGCTGACAAGCCTGCCTTGGCTTTCGGCTGCTTTGCCTCCGCTTTGGCCTCTTTGAGCGAAACAGCAAGAGAAGTGCCTTGCAGTGGTCTCTTGCTGGCCTTTTTGGGGGCCATGGCCGCAGAGGCTTCGAGGCCGCCCCGGGCCCCGTTAAGAACTGGCTCAATGCTGCGGGGCGGATCCAGATCAGCTGCCCCTACAGGTGGTGGCCCGGTGACTCAACACTGCGTTGCTTCGTACTTGCATTGCACACGTTCTCGCAAGACACGGTTAAAAACTGCACCCTCACCATAACCGCCTGGTCCTAAACTTGAAGCACCTGTGCCAACATCTCTGCTGAGGTCCAGGGTGTCGGGCCGGAAATTTTCGTCCAGCAGCTTGTCTGCTTCATCGAGGACGAGGAACCGCCTCAATCTCTTGCAGCCACAGGGTCGCCTCATACGTTGCAGCTGGTGCTGACACTGCCAAGGAACCGACGCATCTGTGAGGAGAAGGCCATCGCGCAAGAGCTTGAACATGCGACCAGGCGTTCCGACCTCGAAGGAAGAAAAGAGAGCCTCTCTCCAAGAGGTTCAGAGTTCTTGGCCCGCGGCTGCGACGTGCGGTGCTCCCTTGGACTGAAGCCTCTCCTGTCAGCTCAGGCTCTCGACCTCTCTTCGCCTTCGCTATGCGCTGAGATCCTCGTCTTCTTCTACAGGGACGCCACCAATGAAGCAGGCAACCTCGCAGGCTCAGACCGGAAGAGCCTATCTGAGTCTGGAGACTCGACGGATGAGATCCGAGCATCCAGGACTGGCACGATGTACCTGACTCCAAGACTTGCCTAGGGCCTAGGGCCTAGGGGGCCTAGACAGTGCAGAACGTCCGAGGTGCAGTCCAGCCAAGTCTTCGCAGCTCGTCGGAGATCTTCGCTACGATGCCAAGCCCACAGTCGACTTTCGATCGCTGTGAATGAAGGTGCCTGCATGGCAATCTCGCGTGTTGGCGCCAGGATGATGGCCTGCGGTCGAGCAATGATCCCCTTCCCACTGGAACCTTCTCCAGGGCCCTTTCAGGCACAGACCAGCGGAGTTTTCTCTAACTGAAGAACATCACGATCAACATTTGATGACTGTTTTTTTCCTAGCGATGGGCAACGAGCAATCAGAGTGCTATCCGGACCGCTCTGGCACCTTGCTTCTCTACTCACAGAGCTGCGGGGTACCTTACACATGCAAGTCCTACTGTAACCCCAGCATGTATAACCATCTGAGCGACGATGTCGTGCCATGACATGTACAGCTACCGAAACCAGGAGCCCCACAGCCACTGCGGCTGCTTTCGAACACTTCGGCTTGTCACGGCCAGAGCGAACACAGCTTGGCAGCCACCACCAAAGTGTCAAAGGTGACATGAAGCCGACAAGACAACAATGGGGATGAAACGCATGAAGTCGCGGAGCTAACACATGGCGCGGCTCGTGGGCATCATCAAACTTGGACAACCTGAAGAAACTGAGCGAAATCCTGGAAGTCCTAGCCTACCTCTGCACGGCGAAGCTGGCAGTCCTGTGATGTTCCCGAGCTGGATGTGTTCACACCTTCATCAAAGCAGTGGTGGATGAATGGCCAACCCTGCTGGAATTCGTGATTGCTAGAGTGGCCTTCCAGCACCACAGAGCAGAAGGCAATTGTCTTGCCTGGCCAGGGTGCAGGTCATGCTAATTGTAAGATTCAGTGACCTCCACTCCGTACCTTGCCTGTTCCAGACTTGGCCTGCACGATGACATCTCCTCCACCAAGCGCCTCCGGAATGGTTCGTAGTTGCACCTGAAGCCATGAAGCAGTGAACCAAGCAACGTCAAACCCAACTTGCCAGGCCACAGGTGAGGGATGTTCACAGCCCATCTCTTGCAGGCTTCGCCTCGCTAAACACAACTCACACTGGCATCATTACGCAACGTACCGAGAACGGGACAGCAAGGGTGCTGACAAGGACAGCTCTGCAAAGGTGCATCGCCTAACAGCATCAGGGCAATGCACACCAGCCACGATTGCGCGGTGCTCGGCTCCTGACTGTGTCTCGGAGTCAACGACATCACTTGTCTTGAAGCGAGGCATATTCTACAGTCTTTCGCATAAGGTCAATGCCATTGTCACTGGCTATTGGGCTAGCAGTCCAAGTTAGAGCTGTTTGACAGGCGGTGGCCTGAAAAAGACAAACAAAGTACAGTAGCAGCATAGGGTTGCGAATGTTGTAATTCTGGACCGTATCGGATTTCTTCAACGGCGCAGCCATGACGGCCAAGCGCGAGAAACGTATCGAAACTCCCTGGCCCAGCCGCGGGCCGAGTCAACACACTGCAAGCCAGACCACGAGACGTACATGTTCCGCTCGAGCTTTGCAAGCACCTGCTTGTGCGGAATGAAGGCTGGCAGCTTTGACCAGACATAAATTGAGGACTCACAGTTATATCAGACAGCTGCCGAGACTGTCTAAAACGTTATCATCTTTCTCATGACAGTTTGTTTCAGGTGAATCCTCTTGCCCAGTGCCCGAGCAGGACTCTGGCGGCACATGAAAAGAGCAACTGGATGCAGGACCCGTCGTGTCTTTGTCGAGCAGGTCCGGTGGCTAATCGAGTCAATTATAGCCCTCCCTCCACGCACAGCTTTCGTTCCTTCGTGAGAATTGACCGATTGCCGCTCCTACTGCTACTGCTGGGAGCATCGATCCATATTTCTGGATGCGCGGCCCAACACTTTTGGAGAGTATTTTGGGAGCAGCCTTCAACCTTCGGCTGTGCTGCCATGCTGCCATGCACTGCCACTCCTCGGTTGCGTTGGATTCCGCTTGCGCGGTCGAGCACGCATAATGCCAACAAGCTGCAGGCCTAATTCGCGTTGGGTGTAGGTTGGAATCGATCGTAGATCTCGAGCCCTGGCATGACAATCTGGAGGATCAGGTAGACGCAGGCCTGACACGTGGCAGAGCCCAGTGGCGGTTAAGCTCGCTCTTTTCAAAGCTTGAGCCAAGGCTCGAGGACCACCAGAACACTCAGGAAGAAGAAGATGAGGATCATGGTCCTTGCTATTGCGCAATGTATAGCCCTCTGCCTTTTGCCTTTGTTGAGAACTACAGCGCCTACGGGACCGCAAGCTCCAGGCTAGTTCCTCTTTCTCCGACGTCCAGGCTATTGCTGAGCCATACGAGCATGCATTGCCAATCACGAGTCATGCCACAGGACTGATTCCCTGCAGCATGGCAACGAAAGATTGCGGTCCTTCTGATAAAGAAATAGTTCGTCGGCCCCAAGTAGTTGTATATGAACCTCAGGCCAAAACAGTGCTCATCGACCCGCTGTGCTTCCCTTTATCGGCAGCCATCCAGAGTTGTACCTCAGGTGCCCGCCCAAGGGGGTTCGTGACAGCCTGGAAGGTGCCCATGCGGTCTTCCGGAGGGCTGACTTGGCAGTCCTGTCCATGAAAGCTTCTGCCTACTCGAAGGAGGTTCAGAGCCCGAGAATACAAGGGCTACGCTGGTTAACCACGGCTGGACTCAGGATGGAAGGTGAGGCAGCATGTTGCTCGTGAAAGCCCAGGGTGCATGGAGATTGCCCTTCGTATTTGATACCGTCGGAGGAGCGACTCGAATGTCAACACCAGATGCACTCTGCGCGCTGCAAAACATGCAGCAATGCCTCATAGGTCACAGGTTGCACGCAAGAAAATGCCTGATTGTATGTTTCCTGCCCAGATGCTGTTGGCTCGTGCATCAAGCCACAAGCTGTCGATCCTCTTCCTACCACCAACTCAACTAAGCCCTGAAAGCTGCGTGGCGTTCGCCTGGGAACTGCACCAACGGTGTTGGTTTTCTTCGAGCCCGGAATCTTCAACAAATGTCAGCAATGAACGCCTGCTTGAGAACTGCGCACCGCTGATCAGGAAATACTTAAGATTCCCCGTGACAATCACCCGTCCTTCGGAATCTCGTGGAGATCAGCTTCTTCTGCACTGACAATCTCGACCTGGAACACGCGTCTGACAGCTTACACGCCGTAAAAGCCGTCATGATGACAAGATGTGACCCCTGTAGGCTGCAATCTGTCAACATGGTCCTTAATTACGGCCCGATTCAAAGTATTCCGAGCCTGCAGGTTGAGGTATGCCGGTGCCACTTGCCGCGGCTCCCGTCTGATGCAGCAGCAGCAAAAGCAGGAGCAGCATCGCAAGAAGCTCCGGCAGCATGCCCGCAAGCGGTCACAGCAGCTTTTCAAGCACCTCGACCAAGCCCCAGGTGATGCAAGTCTGGAAGACGCAACATGACGACTGCCAGCCGCTCGCTCCGCCCTTTTGCAGGTGCCTCACGCACGGTGCACATTTTGGATGAACCATAGGCGGAGGTTCCTCAGAGCCCATGACAGCCACAGTGAAAACGTTGAAGCGCCCAGCGACATCTTCGACTCTTTCTATCTCTTCTGACTGACATGCGTGGGGTTTGAGTACTATCCGTGTATTCCACAGACTCGCGAACTGAGGCACTGGATTACAGGGTTCGCTCACTGCAGCGGCATCAGGAATTGGCACAATGACGCCGCCGATTCACGCCGGATTCATGTACCGAAGCGATTCGCGCGCAGACATCGGAATTTGCATCACCAGCCCACCCTAAATCATACTATAAACAACCAACGGTTTGACTCGGAATTGAGTCGTTGCGGAAGCAACCACCCTAAATTCACAAAAAAACAGACACCGATATGCAGTAGAACATGTGGCAAGTGCAATACCCGAAAAGGAATGAATGGCGGAAGTAGTTGTCAAAACCGTTCAAAACCCATTGCGCGAACCCTGGAAACGTTCGACCGTCTCCCTTCACGACTGGCCTTCTCCGACTTTTCATCATGAAGCCCGACGTGGGAGTGGTACTTGTAGTGGTCGTGGTAGCTATTCTCGAACCCAAACCCGAACCCAGCAGTACCACAATAGGGGTGACGGGAGAGGGGGGTGCTATTGGCAACCATGTATTGGTCCTCTGCTGCGACAACTTTGCTGTCCCGAGCTGGCTGTGGGAGTCGGGGAGGTCTTCAGCACGAACTACCCACAAAGGAACATCTGCGCGAAGGCGCGAACCGCCATGACCAAATAAGCTCACAATAAGAAAGATCGAGAAACAGATGTAGCACAAGCGGTAACCACGAAAAACGATACGCTGGCGACGCGTTAGCCAAAACATGTATTATGTAGAGGTGTAGAGCCTCGTTTTGGTCGGGGAGGGGAGGGGAGGGACAACCAAAAACTCAGCAGTCTGCCGTCGTGTCCCGGTCTCGGACAGTTCGCTCCCTGACTCCTCTAAGGTCGATGCCAGCTCAAGGGCTCGCTGCCCTGATTCAGCGTCAAAAATCACCTGAGCGTTTTGCTTGCAAGGAGAGAAGGCGAGATAGCGCTTTACATGTTGATGTCCCGCCTGTTTCCTCACGGGACCCGGAAGATCTTCACCTTCTGATTTCTTCTCGTGCCTAAGCTCGACAACAAAGAGACCCAACTCAACATCCGTAGCGAAGCACAATTGAGATGCACACGCATACATGACTAAGTAATCCAATGGCAATTCCTGGACCCGCAACGGATGGGTCTGTTCTGCAGTGCTTTTTCAACGGTATGAACGAGGAAACCATCCTGCCTTGGGAGCATACATAAGGTCTGCCTCCGTCAAGGTGTCCTGGCAAGGCATCCCAGACACAAACAAGGCAGCACAGGTAGCTTTTCGACGCATAGAAAGGGCACTGTCGAATTCAAGACAACCCTCCCTGCAACCAAATCAACAAGCTGAAGAGAATCCTCGTCAACCAAGCTCAGAACGATGTAGCAGTACTGCAGCGGGGCCGTAACCCTGAAGGCCTCGGTCGAAAGGTCGCATGCAGCATAGCAGCATGATGAGTACTTGCAGAGCCAACTGGGCCACATGCCCATTGCCAGTTAAAGGATGCCGTATACCTGGCCTGAGTCGCCGCGCGCTGCATCATGCTGCGCTGCACACTACTTGGGTACTTGCCAGGAGTCTTTGCGTCTGCCCCACAAGGGCCGAGCGTACTTATGGACGTCCGTCTGGAGCTTCAGGGAAACGGGCTCTTGGCCTGCAAACTGGTCTACACAAGAAGCTCTGGCTTTCCAGTCGCACACTTGTACTTCAACGGATGACCTGGAGGTGTCAAGGGACTTCACGATGCACATGCGCAGTTTTCTCTTGAGTTTTGGCGTCGCCGAACAATGCCGAACACATGTTCTGCATTGGCTGCTTATTTCCAAAGCGGCAGCTAGAGGGCTTACGCCCGCAGATCAGGGCATGGGTACCGAAAAACGTTACTTGGCAGATGCTTTTACTCCGTCCGATAAGCCGTTGCGGGAGGTCTGCCTGACCCCAACACGAACACAAAGCTGCTAAGGTGCACTGACTCCCCAGCCTGACCGGGCATTTTTTAATTTTGGAGCACACTAGGCTCAACCTTGCGACCACATCAGCACCAACTACTTTCCTGGTTTTGGCCAGCAGTAGTGTAGATTTCCCATTCTTTGGAGGTTTGCTGACAACCCTTGTCCATCTGGCGCGATGCCTCTGATACAGCGTGGCGTTGTCCATCCACATCATGCTTGAGGAGAACATGAGCAGCCCTAATCTCCTGCTAGGAATACTGTCAAAAAGAGTCTTGTCCGAAAACAAGGCTGGTTGCTTGCAGGATTCCGCCCAGTGGACTTCGGGGCGTCTGCTGTGACTGGACGCTGTGATGTGTCTGTATCCGTGCGAGGTCATATAGGTGTTATCCATGCCACTGGTTCTGGGTGTCTATATAGGCGGCCTGGGCGCTGGAGCATCTCCCGCCTTCTTGGATACTTACAGTGTGTAGATCCAGTGCTTCCCGTCCCCTCGCCTGGATGCCATACACTGCACGTCATTGTGTCCCATGTCCAACATCAAATCCTCCTGTTATCATAGGGGACATGCTCCGACTCATATCTTGCCTCACTAGCACGCCGCTCAGAAATAGTTATGATGCCCTCGGAGTTTTATTCACAACAGCTGGTGTCTTTTCGGTTGTTACTTTGATGATCAGGCTACATAATTACCCAGATTTCGCGCGAAACGGGACCGGAGGTAAGGTCGGTGTGTACGTGCGCAGTGCAAGCAGCTCGCATTTATCTTAACTAGGCTCGGGTGGACATGGAACCGCACTAGATGGATCTAGATGGAGGGGGCGATTGTGTGTGTACCGGAACATGAAAGGAAAATTGTATCATCTGCATAATTATTCAAGCGGGCACCTATTGCACAATAGGGTCCAACCTGCAGGCATGTACAAAGCATCTGGTGTCCCACAGACTGCTTCCAGCAAAACCTACCTGTGCAAACGTAACGTTGTCCGTTGTCCGTGACGAGCAATCCGGAGACTTCCACAGCGCATCCGTCGCTTCGAGCCTTGAGATTTCATCTTCACGTAGGCCACCACCCGAACATCATTCCCTGAGAGAACCAGGAACTACCAGCAATAAGCGCTTCATGATGTCTGCCGATACTTGATGACAAGTCGAGATGCTCTCGCCAAAGTCCTGCATGGATGGCCGAGACAACTGTTGTCGTCTTGAACCGTCTTTGCAGTGAAGGCAGCTGGTCTACGCCTGGCATTCGAGTCCTTGAACTGAGTGATGTTTGTCACATTCTTCACGAGCATACCTCAAAGCTGAAGCTCGAAAGTCACGACGTTGCAAAGTTGAACAGTCTCCAGCCGACAGCACGGTTTACTGATCTCATGCTCTCGTGGTTGAGAGTCCGGCGAATCTCATATTCTGCCTGTTCTGTACTGCATGGCAACATATGGGAATACTGGTGACAATCGAAATCTATGATCTTCAAGGGCTTGCGAGGTAAGAAGCCGGTGAGGTTCCGTCGTGAGATGCCACTGAAGCCTCTGGCCTGCGGCACGTGCCTGAAGTCGACCTGCAACAGAAATGTGAGAAGCGAAGTGCCGGCGTGCGACGACAGAACTTTGCAGGGAGACGTCCGCGGGCGACAGATCGTCTTTCTGCTTAGAGAACCAGGGTGATGGCATGTCTAGAGGGATCCCTGCCTGCGGCGGCGGATGCTGCAGAGAGCCCATGTCCACCTTATGGAAGGGTCTGAGAAACAGGACACCTCCAGATCTAGGCCTTTTATGCTGATGTAACAGCTGCCCATCTAATGCTAAAGTTGCTGAAGCAAACCGAGGCCATGGCCCAGCAGCGCAAGCTCCCTACCCGCCTTCAGGACACGAAGCTGGCGCAGACTCGTGCTTGCAGAATTAAGTGTGAAGCAAAATAAATCACTGAGATTGATGGAACAGGGTTGCAAGCTTCATTGTTCCGCACTCTTTCCCAGAGTTGAACTTGACACTGAGGACAAGCCGTTCCTGTGCTGAAAAAACATACCATGCTCTGAGTTGGGGGTACGCAGTCTTGATGCGTAAATGAAGCAGCGGAAGGGAACAGGGCAGAGACAGAGTGACAGAGACACAACCGGCGCGAGAGATTGATGATATGCTTGACAAAACCATGCCTCGACCATCGGCACATTTCCGAGAAACGTCCAAACGATCAACTACCAACAGAACAAGGATCAAACCACCTAGACAAGAAAGGCAGTTGAAAAACTAAACGAACCTGGATAGCAAAGATATCAACGTGTCAATCAAAACCCTAGGAGATGCTAGTAAAGCAACACCAGCAACAACGAAAACGCGAATAGGCCAATACAGTAATAAGTGAAGTGTCCCCTTCGTTGGGACGAGTTGCCTGTTTTCCTGATGCTTCTTCGTGGAGAAGAGATCGGTCGTCCTCACAGGGTGCGCAAGCCCGCCGCAGAGTCGATATAAGCACCAGGTCCCCGACTCTATGGGCTCGAGCTGACTTGGCGCTAGGGCCGGCTGGATCTTGTCGGAATCTCGAACAGATTCCTTCCCGCCTGTCAGTTCATGGGACAGTGCTCTGCAGTGCTCGTCACAAGTCAGACTGGCTTTCACGGACATTCGGGAAAAACGCCGTTACTTCACCATAGGCAAAATCGTGAGGACAATCATGCAACTCGGGGGTCTGGTGCCGCCTGGGCCTGCTGATGGTCGAGCTTTAGTCCCCTTTTTGTCAGGCTCTGGTTCCACCTTCGCATCGCTGTCGGCTCACAGAGAGCAACAAACCGAGCCCGAGCTTAGCGCGGGTTCCGAAGGTGACAAGTTCTGATCGATCCACTTCTTGTTCATGACCTGGCGAAACAGTCCCCGCCGGTGCCACTTCGATACAAGTACCGGTGTACAGGCCTCACGCATGTCTCTTGCTTGAAGTGCAAGCCACCTGTCCTGCCAATTTCGCACAAACAGAAAGGATCATTCAACAGTGTAAGCTTCATTTCTCCACGACCTGTGGCAGTGCGACTCGTCACGCCAGAACATCATGAATTACTACCGTCAGCTGCCTCGCCACAGTACGGGTCACCGCAACAATCCACGAGTACATGCGGACGTCTGACGTCCGTGATTGTTGTGACGCAGTAAAATGGGTCTGGATGTTCTTGCAAAGCCACAACAAAACTGAGCATGGAGTAAACACAAAGACACGCAGGTTCGAGTTGCAACAACAGTAAAGGCCTCCTAAAAACAACGAAATGGCGTGATCTCTGATTTTCAATCTGAAAACTCGTCACAATCCAAACCAACAGCGGTCAAAACAAAAGCCCAAGTCCTCAATGTCGATCACTGCTCTGCCCAACATCACCTCCTGACGCAAGACAAGCTGCAGACACATGAGGGGAACAGTATGTGAACATGCTGCCACCTTGAGAAGAAAAAGGATCAGGTGCTGCTGCCACTTATCCAAAAAGAGGTAGGAATCAGGCATCTGCAATTACCAAGCCGAAGAAACCATGCTAAATTTACACCCAATCGCAAAACTATACACAAACAACTAGCCTTTTTTGTTGGTCCACGAGATCTAAACTCGAAATCGGCATAGCAGTAGCTGTCTCTGCAGCTGGCGGTAAGGGTCGTGGTCGCGATAGCAGTAGCAGTAGCAGTAGCAGTTGTAGTAGTAGTAGTAGTAGTAGTAGCAGCAGCAGCAGTAGAAATAGTAGTAGAAATAGTAGTAGCAGTAGTAGTAGTAGCAGTAGTAGTAGTAGTAGTAGTAGTAGGAGTAGCAGTAGTAGTAGAAGCAGTAGCAGTACGGTGGATGGAGGAAATCTTGCACCACCTTCATACACTGACTCGAACATCCTCCAAGCAACAACCCCGCACCCCCCTGTTTAACATTGACGACGGATCTCTTGGGGCGGTGCAAGATTTTTGTCATTGGAACGATGTTGTAAAGCCCGTGTTCACTACAATATCAAGAAGGGGGCACGTGGTGAAGCTCCTTCACGTATCTTACAAGCTGTGCAAGATTTCCTCCACCCACAGTCCCCAGATCTGGATGTAGCTTAGACTGCTTCATGGCTGTCATACATGTCTGGCGGATAGTTCCAAACTGGGCTTTCGCTCTAATGACATTCAACATGCACTGTGCCAGCTCAGTTTGCTCCTGGGTGCCCTACAGAAGTCACAGTTCACGTCATAGAAGACACAGTCAACGTCCAGTCAGCGTTACGGTCAGCGTTACAGTTAACGTTGCGAAAATGCTGGAAGAGGCAGCATTTTTGAGCTTTCAAGCATCTCAAGCAATAAATACAGGTATTTCTGGTTTTGTACTGTTGAAAACACGAAAATGTTGTCTTTTCTAGCAGTTTTCGCAACGTTAACTGCATCGTTGACTGTAATGTTGACTGTTGGCTATATGTTAATTGCAAATTCGTACCAGGTGTAGCAAGGATGTTGAACGGGGGTACCCGTGGCTCCATCTTACGATTTTAGGGGTGAGGGATCAAAAACAAACAAACATGCATCCAAAGAACAGAAAATGAAGACTTAATAGAAAAAACAAAAATGAATCAAAAAATCGGCCTAGCTGGGCTGGGGGGGGAGATGAGGGAGGAGGGAGGGAGGGAGGGAG